CGTCTATGCTGGCAACGTAGGGATCTCCACCGTTGATCCTGTCCAACCCATCCACAGTAGCCCGCCCCAGCAAGCATCAGTAGGATGTTGTTTGGTGGGAACCTTTCCCTATCCTTTGTTTACCCTAGGTCCACACCTGTTCCATTATCATATAAGTAGTAGTCGAATAAGCCTAAGCCTGACAATATTTAATTACAGATACAGCAAATATAAATTGAATAAATTTTAATATGACGTGATTTACCAAAAAATTAGTAACAATGCATGCCACTCAAACTGGTTACCCACCCAATAGGCCGCAGTGAAACCAGCGACACCTGAAGACAAGTGAATGACATATCCACCGGAGTAGTCAATTATTCCCATCTTCGACAACCACCCACTGGGAAACCATATGCTATACGCACTGACAGTGTAAGAGAACGTAAGCCAAAGCGGCACAAACAACATCCATGCAATAAAATTCATCCTTCCGAGCAATGCGCCGGCGACCAATATCAACGTGATCGCCGCAAACACGAACTGAAAGAAGACCATCGTCGCAGTCGGCAACATCCCAAGAAACGCTTTTTCCAGAAGAACCTGGTAAAAGTTGAAGAAAAAAAATATGTATATCTCACATGAGTCAATCAATTGGTCGTACTTAATGACCTAATCGTTTGATTTATCTCCATCGTGTAACTCATAACTTAATCTGAAAAATATTATTTTAATTTAGAGACCATTAAATTAATTGTAATTCTATCTGACATTGAAATTAAATTCGAATTTAGACTAATCACAATCCAATCCAAAACCCGAACTGTTGACCAGCCTAGCACATATGGGTATAGATGGAATCACATTAAACACTTTTGTGTACTTGATCTTATGTTATTTCATTGTATTTATTCTTGGTTAGTTTTTATCAAACCTTTTGATCCAAGGAGACGTCCGGTTTTCCGAGAAAAGGAAGGAATTTCCCTTTATCGCCGAAGGCCATTTGGTAGCCCCAGCCGACCCAGCAAACGAGGACGGCGGCGAAGGCGTAGAGAGCCATGAAAGCAGAGTTCACAGCCCATTTCTTCTTGACGATGCTGCCGTAGAGGATTACGAGTCCAGGTACGCTTTGAAGGCCGACCAGCGTCGCCGCCGTGAGCTGCCATGCGTTGTCTCCTTTGTTCATCCATTCGGGGCTCGCAGGGTCTGGAATGAGGTTCTGCGGAAGCTGATTCATGGTGGCAGGCTTAACTCCGTCCGGTGACTGTGATAGGAAACTTATACAAGTTTTGGGCCTTCGCAGTGAGATGAGGATTGGATAGATGTTTATGTTAGTGAATATATAGGAGGGAGAGGGAGGGCTTTTGGACCTCAGTGTCTTATGCTGATTCGGAAGAAACAAGGGTGAATATTATTTTTAGGATAAAATACACTTGTGGTACATAAAGTATGCGTTTAGTATTTATTTGGTCCTCAATTTTTTAATTGTGTCTATATAATCCCTAAAATTTTCAATTTGTATCTATATAGTCAAATTCCAAAGGTTTGTCAAAATATCGTTAATGACTCTGATCATGCGCCAATTATGTGGGACTAAATAGACAAAATTTTAAAACTTTTAAAGACTAAATATATACAAAATTAGGAATTATGTGATTGACGTGTGATCAGAATCATCACGATTTTTTAACGTACGTTTGAGACTAGACTATGTAGATATAAATGAAGAACTTTAGAGATTAAATAGGCACAATTAAAAGATTAAATATTAAATAAACATTAAACACATCCTTTAAAGACAAAAAATTGTAATTTACCCTTATTCTTATGAGATATGTTGTGGGCATTTAGGTTTTAAGTTCACACTAATAAAAGTTGGGTTGTCTTCATTTGGAAAGCAGACGGAGAATCCAAATGCTACAAGCTGAAGCAGAGAAAGTCACGCCTCAAAAAATGGAGTTTCTTTAGGAACCCTTGTTGACACTACCAAAGAAATGCTTAGGTACAATACATACAACTGGCCAAATATTATTTGCCCTATTAGAGGACGGGTTTTGACACAACAGTAAAATTATTTCATTGTAATTTAGAGATCACGAATTCGAATCATAAAAATAGTCTTTTTGTTTGCTGGGATAAAATTGCGTACATCTAATTCTCGTTAGACTCTACAATGACGAGAGTCTCGTACAGTGGATATACATTTTTTTAGATCTTTACGTATAAAAATAAAAAATAAAAAAAAACTTATGAAAAATGATTCTCGTCATTTGTTTCCTCCCCTGTTTTTTTTGTTTGTTTTTTTATGTTGCCTTGTGGAGTTGCATTGCATGACAATTTTAAAATTTTCGTATAGTCATTGGTGACTACGCTGTATATAGAGAGCAATGCACACACAAATCATGCACAAGGTTGTCAGTATCTAACTCATGTAAGTTCCTCCACTGGTGGGAAACAACAATATTCGTTTGTGAAAAAAAAAAATAGATTTAATTGGGGGACTTAATTCGAATTAAGTCCCTATAACATTGCACTAGTGAAAATGAACGGAGAAAATTTATTGGGTAATGGGGTGGGTGACATATATTAGGCATCAAATAAATGACTTATTTATTAGGGTTCACGTTATTCACTTATTACATCATTATTTAATGGTGACATCATTTGACATAAGTAGACGAGATAACTAAATTTTTTTTTTATTTAAAAGTTAAGGATGGTTGAACTAATTTACACATACTTTGAGTATTTCTTTTCCTAATACGGTCAAAGGCAAAGACAATTTATGCTAGGATTAGAGTATTCATGAGAGACAAATCTTTCGTGGTTATTCTAAGTGGTTGTTAAGATTCGAATTCAGGATGTCTGAATTTACAACTCGTCTATATTATCACTTGAACTACTCTTGAAATTAAGTTGATGATGCACAAAATAAGCTTATGGAAAATCAACAATCGAGTGAATAATGTAAGAGAATTAATGAGACAATTAATAAAACAACCGATGCCAAAAAAAATAAATATTTGGTTAACACACAGATATATAGTGGTTCGATCCTAGTGATCTACTCCATTTCAAGAAAAGGCAATGGTGGCCAAAAAACCTTTATTAATAAAGTAAGGTGAGTGAGCGAGAGAGAAAGAGAGAGTAATGGTTAGCTCCGGTAGGAGTATGGTAGTTAGGAGACAGACAAAACTATGTGATGGATGTGTAGAAAGGTGTTCTCTTATGTAGAGAAAGCATACAATTTATATGCATGAAGCCCTTAGATGAGACGGTAACGTGAGGGTAAAGACACTAATTTATCGGGAAGGATAATTACAAAATGTAAGTACAATTAAATGTTGTCTTGATCTTTAAGAGCGAGTGTCCCGATGATTGCTCCCCACGTACTCTAATTTTCTTAAACTCGTTAAACCTTGGACTGGATCGAATTCACGAATGAAAAAAAGTGAGTAGTTATCTGCATACATTGATGAATAGTTATTGGCTTATGTGGAGTTCACTTTTTTACTTGTTTACAGATTATTGTAGTGGATCTCAATAAATAATAAGACTTACAGTAAAATCAATAACTATAATTATGAAATTTATTTTTAAAGCCTATCTAATATTACTCCACAAATAACATGATCGTAGTGCGGCTCTTCCCCGAAAGGACCATGGACCGTGACCTTGCGCGTCAGCCTAGGACTAATGACTAGCCCGGTCCACCATGATTCCTCCTCATCGTGCATCTGAAATTGGCTCTATGGAATTGGGCCTAGGAAAACCAGTTAATACTTTCAGGGCCCAATGATGGATTTTCCTTTTTAAGTCACACAACTCGAATCGTCCCCTCCTCCAGATTTTACTAATGTAGTCCAACCAGTCAATATCACAAATTATTATTTATATTTAATTAAAATTTTAATTTAAAAACTTAATAAATTACATTTTTTTAATTGATAATAAACTTTATTAAATACTGACATACACAGATCACAGCAGATTGAATTCTCCGATATTCAAATTATGTTCTAATAAGATTGCTTATTAATATCATCGTGTTTATACCATGCCACAAAAATCTGACCAAAAAAAAGAGGGAAAATACTTCTGGTTATCTCTTTTCGGTCCTTTCACAATACTCGATACCCCCAAAAATATATATATATATATATAGAGAGAGAGAGAAAAAAAAATTTCCATTACATTTTCTCACCATTTTTTTTTTGGATACATTATTGACGATAAATTCGAGGGGGACCAATTATATATAAATGGGGTTATAGTTTTGCGTTCTCCGAGGATCCCTTTGCACAATGAAAACAAAGACCCGGTGGAATGAGAGAACTCTGCCCCTTTGCATTTGTTTAGGAACTTAGAACAACTCCAAGGGGGTGGCAACCCCATGTGCCACTCCAAATTCAAAATTTTGGGTTCCAAAGGGAGTGGTATATGGGGTTGGAAAATAGCATCAAGCTTTTTTGAGGTGACATTTTTGGCAACTCTAGAGAGAAAAAGGGAGAGGTTGCAAATGGATTGATGAATATAGATCGGTTAGATGAATATAGACCCGTTAGATAATTATAGATCCAACGATTCATATAGATTAATGAATAAAAATATGAAAATAGAACTCTATTTTGACACCTGCCATTAGAGCAGATTTATAATTTAGGGGTGTCAAAACACTGTTCAAGATTACAAATAAATAATTTGACACTCCAAAATATCAACACCCTTTGAAGTTGTTCTAATGGATCTGCGACATGGGCAATTATGAGACTTGTGCCTTCTGACTTGGGGAATGAGAGGAACAGTTTGAATAGGTTTAGTTTTGAATGTATTTTGCTCTTTGGCTGAATTGTTCCTTTAGGTTTGAAATATTCGAGATCCTTTTGATCATGTTTTTTTTTGGTCCGGCTTTTGATCATGTTTGATGATTGCTTTTTTCATATTATATTCTTCATCTTTGTTTGTCCAGACTGATAGCTAGAATGTGTGAACCCCCCTCCTTCCATAGCTATCCTATGGCGAAATTTGAGACCACCACACTTCACTTTGTTGAAATCCTTTTCAAACTAGGTCCATAATTGTTTTTCAATAATGGCGATTGGTATGCTAAGTTCGAATTTTGACAATTCATTAGAGTCAGGTCATGAAAGAGTTTTCTCTCATAAATATTTTATTTCTGATGTAGATAGTCTATTTTTGAACAAACTAGATAGGGAATTAATCAAAGTATACATAAATTGATCCAAACACCATATTTAATAAACACTGTAAGACCCAATAATCTAATGATCTATGACTATGTTGAGGTGGTGTGTGAACGGGCTAGATGAGACCCTTGTGCTCTAGGCTGCCACCATCCTTGTTTGTGTTGGACATGAGTTTTCAATTCAAAAGGCGTCTGCTCACTTATTCGACCTGTTCGTCATTTCAACAATCTATCTCTCGAATGAGACTTATAATAAATAACCAATGATCTATGGCTATGTTGTGGTGGTGTGTGAATGGGCTAGATGAGACCCTTGTGCTCTAGGCTGCCACCATCCTTGTTTTTGTTGGGCATGAGTTTTCAATTTAAAAGGCGTTTGCTCACTTATTGGACTTTTTTGTCATTTTAATAATCTATCTCTCGAATGAGATTTATAATAAATAACCAATGATCTATGACTATGTTGAGGTGGTGTGTGAACGGACTAGATGAGACCCTTGTGCTCTAGGCTGCCACCATCCTTGTTTTTGTTGGGCATGAGTTTTCAATTCAAAAGGCGTCTGCTCACTTGTTGGACTTGTTCGTCATTTCAACAATCTATCTCTCGAATAAAACTTATAATAAATAACCATTATTGTTCTTTCTCTCATACGACACAGAGTCGAGTGCACAAGGTGGTTTGGGTCGTGATTTTGATATCATTTATTGGACATGAGTTTTTAACCCAAAAGTCACACCTAATAGGTGGAGTAACCTGCTCATTTATATAGCCTAAGACTCTTTTATCATCCTCTGATGTGGTATTTTTCAACAGTTTTGGCCAATCAATCTGACATCTAAGTTTGGAGCAAAGAATATAAAAGTCATGGTCCAATCAACTATGTATTGCTGAGGCCATACTAATTTTTTATAGTGTCTTTTGTAAGCATTTATTTTCTTCATTCAAACGTTGATTTCAGACCCGGTTCTAGAGAAGTTTTACTGTTGACTGTTGACTGATTTTTCTTACAATTTTTTCTCTCAGGCGTGTTTGAATTTCCTCATTTCCTTTATTGAAAATTTTGCGACTAACCCATGGTGTTTAATCCAAGTCCTATTTAAAGGTAAAGACCAAGTGCCGGTGGTATGTATCTCTCTTATTCTTCTCTCTTAGCATCAAAGTTTTCCACTTCCTTTGGAGCGACTTCAAGATCAAATCCAGGATGGCCGAAGCACTCTCCGAAAAACAAGTTACCGAGTTCCGAGAAGCTTTTTTCATGATTGACAAAGATTCAGATGGTATCGATATGTTCATAGTTTATATCTTCTTCTACGTATGTATACAGTTTATTTTGTTGACAGAATGTAATATTCTTGTGAAGCATGAGTAAGAGCCTTTATTCTTGAATTAGTTATATGCTAATTATAATTGCTATGTGTATATATAACAAAAATTCTGATCTGCCAAAAATTTAATTTTTTTTTCTTGGTTAAAAAAATATTGAAAAACTAATAACTTGTTCAATTCATAGGTCTGATTACCATGGAAGAACTGGAAGTGGTGATCCAATCTCTACATGAACATCCAACAAAGGAAGAGATTCAAGAAATGATAAATGAAGTCGATCCTGATGGAAATGGGACCATAGATTTCGAGGACTTTTTAGGCATCATGGCAAGAAAGATGAAGGTAGGAATAAACAAAAATAATGAGTTCTAAAATTAATGTTTGTGTTACATAAGCTTTCTAATAAAATCATTTAGCAGAATTTCGTCGAAGTTGATTGACAATCCTGCGAATTTAGCAGGACAATGTAGCAGAGGAGTTTAAAGAAGCATTCAAAGTTTTTGACAGGGACCAAGATGGTTACATTTCAGCCCTTGAGGTGAACATTCTCACCATGTTTTTTCCTTATTTCAAGGTTGTCTCGAAGTAAGATTAAGTTGGTTTGTCGTAAACTTAGATGTTAATAGTGAATTAATGATTTTTAGACCCGTTTTTTTTGCTTGACTGTGTTTAATTTTCGCGGTGTCGGTGCGTAGTTGAGAGAGGTGATGATAAATTTGGGAGAGAGACTGACGGATGAAGAAGCTGAGCAGATGATCAGAGAGGCTGATCTGGATGGAGATGGTCTGGTCAGCTATGAAGAATTTGTGAGGATGATGATGGCTTCTTCATGTTGATTATATATCCTTGCTTATAAGAAGCATATTACCCCCCAATCTTTGTAATTCTGATGTAGTAGGGACACCAACCACATTACCAAATGATGATGATAATTACTTTTGTTTTGCATAACTAATAGAACAAGTATTATGCAATTCAATTAACTCTCTCTCTCTCTCTCCACCTCTCTCCACTAGAGAGTACGGTGCATAGTTTTCTATGATCACGTTACTTTATACACACGTATAGGTATATCTCCGAATCATTTTTTCTGCTGGCACCGAGACCTTTTTGTTCCATGTTGAACAGAAAAGTTTTGTACTATAAGATGTTTTGCTTAGAACTTAATTAGGGTTAAGTTGCAAGTTAAAAAAGAGTTGAAATTGATATTAAAATGTCAAAACCGATTTAATTTTTTGGATCAATTTTGAATTATCCATATTAAAATGTCAATAATCTTATGACATTCTATAGTACTTTTGAATTTCTCTTTATCGTGTTTTGTCATTTAGAAATTTTTATCCTTTACTATATGCTAGTAGTTGCACGTGAACTATAAAGCTAGCATAAAGAAATAGATATATCAAAAACAAAGTCATTACAATGGTAAAGAATGCATTAAGCAACACAAAATATTAGGTCATTCCTTATTGCTCCCAAAACTTGGAGAAACATCACAAGAACACACATGCTCGGACTTTGGCTCCATTCTCAAGAATAAGACCCCTCTTAGTTTATGATCAGTTAGACAGGTCTGCCAAATCAGAAGATCATGTGTAGCCACAGAAAGGCAAAGTAATAGGGCAAAGCAGTAAAATATATGCAAAGCATTCAAAACTAAGATTCCAAGTACCTTCATATGGGTACTCATATGGACCATCTGGTGCAGTAATTCTTGTTATTTATCTCATGTAAGAGACACTGATGCAAGAGGCTAGTATGCATCCCAATTCAAATTATAGTTGAAGTGGAATAGGTAGGTTGGCTAACCGTGATTCCTTGTATATTCTCTTCAGTTTGTCTTTTACATTTAGAATCTTCAAACCACACCGAACATCCTATGCAACTAAGCAAGCAAGCAACCAGCATGCTAATAAAAATTGAAATTCATTTTTAATTAATTTTATTTTTTTTCTTAGAATTCATACTGAAAAATTCTCATTCTTGAGTCCAAATCAAATATCACATTAACATGCTAAAGTCGCTAAGACCAAAAGAATGTTAAACCTGAACTCCATAACATATCAAATTAGACAAAGAATTGAACTCCAACAATTTTAAAAATAAATTCAACTTCCACGTACATTGGCAGAAATAGAGAAATTGCACAAGTTGTACATACAACAGTTGATGACCAAAGGGTAGCTGTACGAAAAAAATCAAGAATATCAGTTTGGGTGTCTTCCGAACTGAGATCTCTTCGGTAAACTTTCTACAACAATGGTGACCCAAAAAATAAACAAGGGAAAAAGAAGGTTGAATCTAGGGTGCAACTCGGGCGGATTGGACAATCAATTCTAGTCTAATCCTAGGTATATAATTTTCAACCTTAACTTTAACCTTAACCCTACCTCGGGTTGAGAAACTCAACCCAAGTATTGCTCGAGTTTAATTCGGGCAGTCTCGGGTTAATGATTTCGGGCTGATTTTGGATTACTTTACAGGTTTAATTCGAGTTAAGTTCGAGTAGAGTCCAAAATAGACTTGATGTTCTAAACCTAATACATATATTATATAATATTCACTTAAATTAACAACCAATAACTTCAACCAAGTTTTTAACAGTATTAATGATAGAACAAAAATGAAAATGAATGAGAGAGACAGAGAACGATATAACAAAAATAAAAAATCAGTGTTAATGCTTTATATATATATATAAATTTTTTTTTTAATTTGTCGGGTTCGGGTTGAACCCGAGGCCTTAACCTGAGTCCAACCCAAATTGAATTCAAGTTGGGATTTTTTGATTCAAGTCCAACCCAAATATTAAAAATCCTTGTTCAAGCCCTAATTTTTTCGAATTAAAATCGGGCCGCACCCCTAGTTGAATTTTCTGCCTTTAAGCAAGTAAACCATTAACAGACCTTAATCGGATAGAGATCGAACAACTTGGTGAACAGGAGATTCAATCATCACATCGTAAAGTGCCGCCTGCTGGCCACACCAAATTAGTGATTTTTGGATTAAAACTGCAAATTTGGCTTTATAATATCCTAAACAACTAATAAAAAATAATCAACGCTATATAACTCAAATCTGTAATCTAAATTTGTATCCCAAAATGAAGGGTCCTATTTTAAAAAATTGATGGGACTCACTGATCCAATATTCCCTTTATTTGAAGTATAAATTTGAGTTATAAATTTAGGCTACATAATATATCACATAAAAAATTTAAAATAAAAACACATTTCTCAAAAACCAATCAAGAACCCACCCTACAAATGAAATAAACTAGAATTTTTCCAAACCTCTAGGCGAATTCCAAGCTGTCGGGCCGAGACACCTTTCCTTTAACTTGGAATAAATCGAGACAGAGATAAGATTGATTATGGAACTGATCGTCCCAGACGAAGGTTCCACATAGACGGTGATCTGGCCAATTAAGGCCACGTTATGAGACACATAGACATTGATAATATTCGAGACTAACTGCACCCGACGAAATGAGTTTTCTCTTCCTTAAAAAAAAAAAATTCAATCAATCATCAATGGCTTGTATGGATTCCCTATTTTTTATGTGCGGCTCCATTAGCAACCGTGCGACGGAGGAGAGGTAGTGACAGTTAAGTTTTTTGAGATAATCAAGCTGAAATCACCATTAACAAAGAACTTAAAAGACACTGGAATGGAAAGAATTTGAGACTTACAGAGGGGTTGAAAGCGTACAAGGGGAATTGACTGAGAATCCATTTGTTAAGAGGAGGTGTAGGGACTGACATTGTATTATTGATCAAATTAAGATTGACATTAATTACAAGTTTAATGTTAATAGACATTGTACCCCCTATAATTAGTAAATGTGAAAGCATTTATGATGGATATAATTGATATTGACATTAGGTTTACCGTTGTAGAGGATAAGGATGGTATAGTTGCATTAGTGGAGGGTAAAAGTGAAAAAAAAAATTTCAAGTATACTAATATTTTAAAGTAGTTTAAATATAGATAATTTGGATTCGACTTTCTCTAATGTTGATTTTTAACAATATTAGTTTAGTCGATCAAAATGACACTATTTTGATTAATAATAAAATGTTAATTTTCTAACAACAAAGAATTTTTACCCATATAAATAATTCTAAAGTTGTAAAAGAGGAATAAAAAGCGTCCATTGTCTCGTAGGGTAAGCTTACTGAATGGCAAATAGGAGAAAATGGTTGAAGTACTTATTGCCGATGTAAACTAATTAAGTAATTTTTAAAAAAAATAATTATCAATATAATAGAAAAAATATATATATAAAAATGTAAAAAAATTCGGTCATACCTCCTTTTGTTTATCATAATTTCAAGGACACTTCCTCTATTATTTAAAACATCACTAACACTCATTTTAGTTTATATTTAAATATCACTGACTATCATTAAACCACCGTTTCTAACAAATTTTTTTATCTAAAATAATAAAATTGTCCTTACATAAATCCCAAATAATCTTTCTAATAAAATTTGATTAAAATTCAAGCAAATTAAAATTCATTTTTAAATTTTATTTGTTTACGTATTAAAATTCGAACTTATTAAAAAAATTTTACGTATTAAAATTCAAACTGATTTGAGCTCTACCTAAGTTGTTGGTGTTGACCAAAATTCGCTTCGAATGATTAAAATTTATATTTTTGTATTTATTAAAATTTGTGTCAATTAAAATTCGATTCAAATTAATTAAAACTTATATTTTACGTATTAAAATTCGAGTAGATTAAAATTTATATTTTTTTATATATCAAAATTCGACCTGATTAAAATTCAATGCGGGTGATTAAAATTTGATTCGAACTAATTAAAAATAAATTTTAATCAACTCGGATAGAATTTTAATTGACTTAAATTTTAATAATTAAAAAATATAATTTTTAATTGACTCGAATTTTAATAAATAAAAATTAAATTTTAATAAATTTGAATCAAATTTAATATATAAAAAAATTTAGAAAACAGATATGTCTTATAAAAATATGTTTATCTAAAGAAAATGTGAATAAATTTTTTCTTAAAATACGTGACAGATAATTTAATAAGATTACGTTGTAGTTGACAGTGATAACTTGCTCAGAATTTACTATACCTTTCTTTTATACAGTTAAACCGATCAAGACAACGTCGGTCTATTTTATGCTTAGGTCTAAGTGTAAGCAGAGAAAACAATTTTGTTCGGGATCGACACGACCACTCTCTCTCGCCGATCGCCGACTCTCTCTCGCCGATCGCCGACTCTCGGCACTTCGAATTCCACTTTCATACGGCGAATTTCAGGCGACATATTCGTGAAGGTAATCCTCCATCATTCACCACATCACTGCTGGTGCAATTTTGACGCAAATTCTGATCTCCACTCGCTCGATTGATCACTGTCAAACAAAGATGGGGATTGATTTACTCCCAAGATCTGATGTTTGAATGGAATTGATGTTACTGGAATAGGTCAAATACACTGAATTTAAGTCTGATTCAAGGGGATCGGGTTTGGAACTACGGTGGTTTACTAATTTGCGTGGTTTCTGTCTCTATGCTGAAAATTTATCTTGAGGTTTTTCGTTTTAGTTGTATAACGACATGTTAAAACAAGGAGAAAAGTTGAGAGATTTTATAGCTAGTGTGATCCAGGAACATGTGAGATTTGAAGTTAATAACATTTAGGCCGTAAGATGTCCCTTTTTTTAGGTTACTTTCTTTTGCATGTGTCACACTCTTTTCAATGCTGCTTAGGATTCCAATCGAAACTTTAGAATTTGTTGATATCGGCAATTTTATGGCATGATTTATCATGGTTGATTTGTTCAGTTGTCCATGTTTAAATATCCCTGTAGTACTTGTGCCCTCCAGCAGTTGAGTCAAAAAATCTTATGAAAAAAGTGGCATGCCCATATCCCTTAAAATTGTGGAATATACACCCGAGAAAAAAACAGATTTCTTCGTGAAAGAGGTGATTGCTAATGCTGGTCCTATCAAGAGATAATGGTTGGGGGTTGTGTCAAGAAATAATGTGGAAAAACTATTTAATGTATTAAGAGAAGATCAAAAGAAGAATGAGGATTGATCAATGAGCTTTGGACTGAATGGATATATTTAGAAAGCAATTATTTACATTTTGGAAAGAAAACTACTTATTGTAGTCAACAATGGAAAGAAGAAAAGAAAAGAAAGGAAAAAACCTTGACCATTATCGAGGAGAAAATATATATATGCAACTCATAAACCTTTTATATTTTAAACTTGTAGACCTAGATTCTTGCTATAAATTTGGTTTCCAAAAGCCAATTCTTATATGTGGAACTGGCCAAAAAAATCAACTAGCTGCCTAAAATCAGAATCTTGCATACTCAGACATTCTCACATGAATTTTTAGTATGATGAACTAATCAATTATAATGTACTTCTTGTGGTGAGTTTTAACATATATGATTTAACATTGTCATATCTCAAGTACCAGGTGTCTGGATAATGTCAAAGATACACCATTTAAATATGTTTTAGCAAATAATTTATCCTTGTTAAGACAATGAAAACAGGCTGCTCAATTTTTAGATATCAAATCGCAAGTTAGTGCTAGGGAAAAAAAGGGGAAAATTAGCAAGTGTGGATTCGGCCTGTTTTGGTGAGCAGCAAATAGTGAACTTCAAACTTCTACTAATGTGGAAACTTCCTGATTTAATATCATGATTGTTTTGCACCCTAAAATAAACTTTGTGCATCTTGAACAGATTGTTATTGGCCAAAATGTCAATTTTGCCTTTTCAGAAGTTGACTTCTTTTAAACTGTAACTTGCTTGTGCACAAACCCAGATACTGTATTTTTTTCTACCATCACACAGAGTGACTACAATGGAAATAAGGAAGGAGCTTCCTATTAAAACTCCCCCCTTATAACCATGTAATGAAATCAAAAGCTCTTTCGTTGTTTAATTCTTTTTCCGCTGTCCTCTTGAGTATACTTGAGTTTTCAATATACATTGTACATGTGTAATGTGTTCTCTTTCCTGTAATGTCTTCTCAATTTTGTGAGTGTTGAGCTATGACTTTTTGATGTTTTACATTCACTTTATGAAACAATGACATGTTATCACAAGTTGCATTTTCTGGCAGGTTAATTTATGAAAGCAATAATATAGCTAGAAGATCAAGAGTGAACTATGAGAACTACCGGAAGTGAGAATCCAAATGGTCCAAATTTCACTCCAAGACCTGCTACTACGCCTTTTGCTGCTCCTCAGAGTGCAACACCTTTTTTAGCATCTGGCCCTGTGGCTGGATCAGGGGCTTCTGCTTTTCGGCCTACCGTGCCGACTGGCTCCCAGCCTAGTACACCTTTTTTGTCATCTGGGCCTGTTGTTGGATCACAAGCCTCTGGGTTTAGATCTAGACCGCCAGGTATTTCTAACAATCCATCTGTGCCCCCTCCACCAACATCATATGACCCACCAGCTACAGGACCTTATCAGCGTTTTATGACACCACAATCTCCCTTAGCAGGTCCAGCACCTCCTGCATACGCATATCCTGTGGGGCAGCCAGTTTTGCCCCCACCAGTTCAACCTCCTGCAGGCCATGTTTCATCTCCGCCAGTTTCCTTTTATGCACAGCCCCAGATACCATTGGTGCCTATGGGATCACCACCTCAGAACTTGAACACTGTGCCATCAGGCATGAATGTTCCTCAGGCATCAGTACAATCATCATTCGCTAGTCCCAGGCCAAACTTCCAGCCACCTTCACCGCCAATGGGATCTTCTTATCCTGCTGCCAGAGGCAGTTTTCAGTCATCTTTCCCTGGTTACCCTAATAAGCAACATAATGCAGCTCCACCTGTTCAGTCTGCAGCCTCTCTTGCTCAGCAAGGGGGTTATGCTCCACACCAATCAACAACATCTACCCCTTTTCTTACTCATCAAGGAGGTTATACCCCCTTTCCATCAGTTGCAAACCCATTAGGTCCATATCCAAGGGAACAAATTCAGTATCCTGGCTCTGCACCTCCTATGGGAGCTGTGCAGGGGATGGTAGAAGACTTCAATTCGCTTTCCCTTGGGTCTGTTCCAGGATCATCTGATCCAGGACTTGATTTCAAAGCACTGCCAAGGCCCTTGGATGGTGATGTGGAGCCGAATTTGTTAGCTCAGATGTATCCTTTGAATTGTGATTCTAGATATCTACGGCTTACAACTAGTGCGATACCGAATTCTCAGACTCTGGCCTCAAGGTGGCATTTGCTTCTTGGAGCAGTTGTTTGTCCTCTGGCTGAAGCTCCTGATGGGGTGAGTATATGTGCTTTTATAATAGTTTTAGCTTTTGATATTGGGAGTAGTTTAGTTAGCTGTGTGCAAGTTCATTTATATACGTGCAATCTGTTCTTGCTTCAGGAGGAAGTGCCAGTTGTTAATTTTGCCACAACTGGGATCATTCGTTGTAGAAAATGCCGCACATATGTGAACCCATATGTGACGTTCACAGATGGTGGAAGAAAGTGGCGGTGCAACATATGTGCTTTGCTGAATGATGGTAAGCTTCAAACTAATTATCGGTTCAAACATGCTTGAATTTCCCATATGGAAGTGTTGGTGGTTAGAGATGAACTTTGTCAATATCAAATTGTATCACATATTTTCTAATGATTATCAATGGGTTGTAGTGTTCCCTGCCATGAGAAGAATATTTTAGTGCTATCACTGCAATAAAGAAGTACTATAATGAATATTGTGAGTTGAATTGGGTTTGGGAATGATCAAGGGTAGAGAATAAATCATGCTGTTAGAATGGTTAATTTTGTTTTCAATTGTTTGTAGCTGTGCTGGAGTTAAAAAAATAAACTAACACACACACACATATATACATGAAAAAGTGGAAGACAGTGTACATAATGCACTTTGATTTTTAATAGTTCCGACCTCTAAATACTATATTGTACCAAAGTGCTTTGGCTTATGTTTAGGATTGTTGAAATGTAGAATATATTGGACGGCTGTGGTAGATTTCTTGTTTATTATATCTTTCAAGGCATACATGCTGATATACTTCAACTCCACCTGTAGTTCCGGGTGATTATTTTTCCCATTTGGATGCCAGTGGCAGAAGAATTGATTTGAATGAACGGCCTGAGCTTACCCAAGGTAGTGTGGAATTTGTTGCTCCGGCTGAATACATGGTGCGGCCTCCAATGCCGCCACTCTATTTTTTCCTCATCGATGTATCAATATCTGCTGTTAAAAGTGGAATGCTTGAGGTAAGCACTTACAGTTAATGAGGGAGACTGTTTATCAACACATCTTGCATTTTACCAACCCGGTGTTTGCATTATTTGAAACACAATTCATATACAGTTCAATATTGCTGAAATTTTAACCATAATTGTCTTTAACAGCTGTGTCTCTGGGCGTTAGCATTTTTTTTTGGTTTGGGTTGGGGGGGGGCATGGTAGGGTTGAGAATGTGGGTGTACTCAGTGTTGTTAAAGGCACGCGTAAGCCCATGTCTACGCCCAGGGTGCAACAAGTCCCAGCCTTGCCAAAACCAGGCAAAGCCACGTGAATAAGGCATATGCCTCGTGCACTTGGGCACACTTTTTCTTGTCCAGATGCATGCTGGTCATTATCTTCAAGTAAATACACGATGTGTTGGGTGTGAGTGATACACAGCCACGTGAATAAGGCACATGCCTAGTGCACTTAGGCACACTTTCTCTTGTCCAGATGTATGCTGGTCATTATCTTCAAGTAAATACACAATGAGTTGGATGTGAGTGATACACAAAACATATTATAAAATCTTATCTGACCCAACTCAAAGCCAAAAGAAAGTCCGCACCTTTTCTCCCAATTCAAGTGTTATACTTGTTTTATTTATTTGGACTTCATTGACTGTTTTGGCTGTGTTTTGATAAATGATATAACTCTGTTCTTGTGAATAACTAAACTGGTTTTGTAAAATTACTAGTTGAATGCTTTATTATTGTCATAATTCATATGGATTGACATTGCATAACTTGGGAAATTGAGAAGTAAGAGTTTTGTCTCTATAATAAAATGTTTGTTTATCTAAATTTAGGCGGTTTCAATAAATGCATGTGTTTATAAAATGAGCCTCTATTTGGAATATTTGGCAACTTGGATATTTTAAGATGTTTGCATTTTTTGAATATTTGCTTATCTTTTGTGTTTTTTGATGTCATATTTTGAAAAATCTTTTGCATGTTATCTATAATGTGTGGCTTACTTCGATGAGGCCCACACCTAGGCCCCACGGGACCTTGGCTCCTTAGGGCACCTTGCGCCTTACGCCTTAAATAACATTGGGTGTACTGAACTAAATCCCTGTGACTACTTGGGCAGCTGTTATAGTGATACAGCTTGATGATTATATGACACAAATCAGTGACTGGGGAATTGCCTTTATTTGGCCTATGCCGGGCCAGAAAGGGAACCTTTACCCTTTTTCCTTGTTCCTTTTTTATTCTCCTCTTTTGACACATAATGTCAGGGTTCCTCAGGTCATAATTGTCAAACACGTATTGGAAGGTGTATCGTTTTTTCAAATAAGATACGAACAATTTTAAATAATTATTAATAAAATATATATACCTTTGCAAAAAAGTCATAGACTCATAATAACGTAGCATTTCATTAATATTCTACCGACTATTTAAGTTCCCAATATAGTTCACTAATATAAAAAATGCTTGAACAACATTAACATTAATTAGGAATTTTAATTCAATTGAACAACATTAACAACAGACTTTATTTTTTTTTAAAACCTAGTCACTGGAACGATGTTGTTTCACTGGTTAGCATTGAAATGACGTCATTTTAACCCCAAAAAACCAATTTTTTTTATAAAAACAAAACAGAATCTTCACGTATTATATGTATCGGACAATACGTATCGTATCATGTATTGTATGATATGGTGCAAAAATAATATAGAGACATGATTCATATTGTTGTTCAGGTGTATCGTGACGTATCGTATGATAAGTATCGCATATTATGCGATACTAGTAACTATGCCTTATGTTACTTAGAGTTGAACGTGGTCCCTTTAGATGTACCACATTTTGAGTAAGTTAGAATTGTGGATTTTTAAAGTGAGGTTTACAATTACCAAGATGTATCAGCTGTGAATTTACTTTTCCCATCAAAAAAAAGTTGTGAATTTACTTCTCTTGGGGCTATACTTCAGTAGTGTTCGGTGATTGTGGATTATTCTTGTGATCTAAACTTGAGTGATAGTTTGTGCTGCATGTATCTTGATTGGAATTATATGTTCAACTTCAATGTCCTTCTGTAGGTAGTGGCACAGACTATTAAGTCTTGTTTGGACAGGTTGCCTGGCTGCCCCAGAACACAGATTGGGTTCATTACCTTTGACAGCACGTTACATTTTTACAACATGAAGGTAAGTTATTTGTGTCACTGTTCTAAGGACCTGCGTTCATTTTTCCCTGATATAAGCTTACTCTCTGTTGAATGACATGCTTGTTTTTCTTGTACCAGTCATCTTTGATGCAGCCTCAAATGATGGTGGTTTCAGATCTGGATGATATATTTGTTCCATTGCCTGATGATCTCCTTGTCAATTTATCAGAGTCAAGAAATGTGGTCGATGCATTTCTTGATAGCTTACCATCCATGTTTCAGGATAATGTAAATGTAGAATCTGCTTTTGGTCCAGCTCTTAAAGCCGCATTCATGGTTATGGTGAGTTATTTTCTTGCCATTTCACCATTTTAATTGATGACCGGTGTTGAGATTTTTTCAGTAGTATTTTTCCCTGTTAACTTAATTTTTTTGCCTTTTAGCAGTTCTTTGGCCATTGATTGGTTTTATCATTGACACATCCTTCTTTTCCTCCATACAGAACCAACTTGGTGGTAAATTGTTGATTTTCCAGAATACACTGCCCTCACTTGGTGTTGGCCGCCTAAGGTTGCGTGGAGATGATCACCGTGTTTATGGAACGGATAAAGAGCATGCATTAAGAATAGCAGAAGATCCATTTTACAAACAGATGGCAGCTGATTTTACTAAATATCAGATAGCGGTGAATGTCTATGCATTCAGTGACAAGTATACTGATGTAGCCTCCCTAGGTAAGTGTCTGTGGTAAGATAATCCTGCTTTCACTTCAAGTGATCCATAGTCAAGAAGAGTAAATTTTAGACTTTTTTCTGAACGTCGTACGTTCTTTCAGCATCTAAGTTTTTGTTCTTATGATTTATTATTGTATGACTTTTGCTTATTTTATTTACTGTTGATTGGATGTGTCAAGCTTCAAATATTGGATGTATTTTGCTTTAGATGTCAATAATTAAGCCAAAATTCTTTTTAAAATGATCATGGATAATATTCAATCCTAGCTTGCTACCTTTCTCTTTTGGCTGCTGGGGATTTCTGGTTCTGATGTATCTTCATGCCAAGTATTGTTTTTGGCTAAACCTCAATATGTGGAATTGTCATCTTTAGTTTTTATCATTGTTTATGCTGGAATTATCATCTTCAGCATTTTAAGTGACGAAACATGTTAGCTGTAGCTGAAAGTATTCTTCATATTACTTATTATTACCCAAATGGTTCTCTTTCTTTTTTTTCCTTTTAGTGTCTGCATCAAATTGTGATAGACTAAAGGATTTGAGTAGGTGACGTGTTAGAGAAAAATAAAGACAAAAAAGTAGGGAAAATAATTACATCTAAAATTTTAAGCACTCTAACTAATACAAGATGCATCATACATCCTAAACATTTATCTTGGGAAGATATCTTCAGACACTGCTTCAGAGAAAAAGACCTACACATTGTTTGAATATATACACTGAGCTTTAACTTGGAAGCAGAGGAAACTTGGTCATTGCCCTTTATTTAATCTTTCTAGATCTATCAAATCTAACCCAATATAAAGAAAGCCCCCAAACCCCATCATGGAAGGCTGTTTTATAGCCCAAAACCAGAATTGCCACAATACTTCATGTATAAGAAGATTGGAAACATAAATGACCTCAATAACATTGAAAATACAGTTAATTTCCTCCCCAATTTCTTAATTAAAATCTTTCTATATAATTATCTAGCAGTATTACTGAAACTTCAAGGTTGTTTGTGTCAATTGGCATTTCTCCTTGAACAACTTCAACACTTCCAACCTGCTGGGCTAAATTTTCTTGTGCTGTTGTCTTTATCTCTTGCTTGCTGTATTTCTAATGGTATGTATTAACTAGTGATAACTGATAACACCATTTCGGCGATAACACTATTTCCATTTTCCTCTCTTCCTTTATAGGAACTCTGGCAAAATATACTGGTGGTCAGGTATATTATTATCCAAACTTCCAATCTGCCATTCACAAAGAGAAGTTGGGGCATGAGTTAGCCAGGGACCTTACAAGAGAAACTGCCTGGGAAGCTGTCTTGCGTATAAGATGTGGAAAAGGTCAGTCTGCTGTGGACCTCTGGTACTAGAGAACATGATACCCTCAGTTCGTTGCTTCTGTTTATAATCTCACTTTCTTGGTAGTTTATTGCTTACTGTTTGATACTAAACCTAATATTGTTTTTCTTGTACCTCTAGGGGTGCATTTCACATCTTATCATGGGAACTTCATGCTAAGATCCACTGATTTGTTAGGACTTCCAGCTGTAGACTGTGATAAAGCTTACGCAATGCAATTACGTCTTGAAGAAACATTATTGACAACTCAGACTGTATATTTCCAAGTCGCTTTATTGTATCCTTTGATTCGTGGCCAAGAAGTTTAAGACATATTTATATGTCTGTTTGTATGTGTGTGATTCTGCGGATACATAAAAATATATAAATAAATATATTATATAAAGTGTTTGTGTGTAAACACTTGGTTGATAGTAGAAACTCTCTGTTTTTGGTTAAGGTATCTGTATGGGTCTGCAGGTGCGGGGACTTACAAAAATACACAAATAAATAAATTACGCGAAGTGTTTATGTTTGCGTGTGAACAAAAATACATAAGTAAACTATATGAAGTGTTTGTTTTGTGTGTGCACGTAAACACTTCATTGATAAAGAAACTTTAGGGTTTTGTTTATTTTACTCAACCTTCCTAAATCAAAAGAGAATTTAGAACTCTGGGTTCTTGAGATTATCGTAACTCAAAATGGCTTCTGGATAGATCCTTTTCCCCCCTTTTTTTTGGATGCTCTACGTTTTGAGCCCGCTCTATTGGGTGCGAGTGAATTCTTTTCTTTGACCATATTAATTTATGTTTGATCTTAATCTTTAATGATTGTTCAAAAGGATATAAT